CAGATGGCAGGTACGCTCTGCAGTGTGCTCATGCTGCATGTGCGGGTTCGACACTGGTTTTTTATGATACTAAAGCTCTTGGTCTGCATAGGCGTAAAGTTCACGGTTGACGGGTGTCTCCGCGCCTAGTTTTTTCATTTCAAATTTCATTCGTTTGCCTGTCTCTGTTGGGTACTAGCCGACTCACTTACCGTATCTTGTATCATTTTCAGTCATGTGAGTGCCCGAGTGCTTGGGGAGGCCCCCCCGACCCCATGTGGGTTGGAAGGCCCGTCCCAGGTCTGGGCCCGATTGGCCTACAAGGTCAACTGCGAGCTTGTGCCATTCGCTTTCCTTTGCCCGCAGGCATTTTCTGTTTAAAAGTTTTGTTCAGCCGGACACCCCTTTTCTTTTCCTGTCCGTAGCCATGGGATCTACAGAGAACCCTTTCTTGAAGGCGCTCGCCCAGGCCAAGGACTCTAGTCCGGTTGCAAAGCGCGGCAAGCGCGAAGACCTCGATGCTCCTATGGCCTCGCGTTCAAAGGTGGTGGCTCTCTCTCCAGTCGAGCTCACTCGTGGATACCTTGACCATGATCACCAGCTTCGGCAGCTAGATGCTTCTACTATGCTGGTGTACAAGTACGAGGAGTCTGCCCCCTTTGCACAACTTTTGATGTCAGCAGTTCGAGTGTGGCAATCGCAGCACCATCCTGGCAAGCCCCACCCCATGGGAGCTTGTTCGACAGCGGTGGCGACCGCGCTTTTCGATGTGCTCCGCAAGGATGAGAAGATATGCCCGAAGCCTCTTGCGGATTTGCTGTCCAGCATGCTTGGAGGCGACTTGACGGTCGTAGCCAGGGAGATTGCAGTGTGCACTGCGCGTCTTACAGCAAAGCGCACTCACATGCTCGTAGAGCTCCGACCACACCTAGCTTCTCCGCTGCTGCCATATCTGCCGACCGTGGCCCTGTTTTTGCACGACAGGAGCGGTGAAAGGTTAGATGTGCGTCCACAAGGAGCGCTTGCGCGCAAAGCGCTTGGGAAGCAGAGAGCTTCCTGAGCCTTTGATTTTCTTTGCTGGTCTGCCAACAGCAGTCCCAGCGTACCTTGTACAAGTGTGCCTTCCAGCTTTACTGCACAGTGCTGCTTACTTGGTGCACAAACATCGGAGCGACCGGCCTTGTGAGCCCATTTTGTTTGCCTACAAGTTGTGATGTGCACAGCAACAATCAATATCTTCTTTTTTGCGATTCAACCTATCTTTGCTGTTGCAGGCTTTCAGCTACGCATTCCGGGCGTGGTGCCAGCTATGATCGCAGCAGTTGTGTTTCTGTTGTTTCCTTTTCTAAGACCAAACCGTCCCAGCTGAAGTTTTGGGTACCATACACAAGAGATTTGGGAATTCTTTGTAAAGTTAACCTCCAGCATGTTCTCTTAATTGTATAGTTGGCTGCCAGATTCCTATTTCTTGCGTTTAGGGGTTGTTTTTAGCTCGTGCTGCTGCAGGACTTGACAGCGCTCTCGGCGATGTGGTTCAAGAATGTGTCGTTTGTTAGGTTGGTTCTCTTGGTAACACCCTCTCTGTAGCTCATATTCCAGACTTCGACAGATTCTTGCATCCGTCGCCTGTTTTTGGGGTTTACTCTAATGCCTTTTAAGCTCGGGTAGGACACTTGTGGAGGCGTGACGTGATTCAAAAGAGAAAAATGTAGTTGTTTAGTTGGCTCTTAGATCTACACCCCCTCTGTATGACTTATATTCGGTAGTTTACGTGCCTTTTTTGAATCCGTTCACGCTGTTTGTCGCCCAGGCTATTTAGTGCAAATGAGTTAGTCCCTAACCCTGTCATACTAAGCGCGAGAACCCATTAATTTCATTTACCTATCTTATCTGGGTTGGTTGTCTGTATAGTTAGATTTTTACCAAAGTTTTTGCGCTCTTGTATGACATCAACGCCCCTTCCCTGCCACCAGGGTTTCCCCTTCACGAGTGCGGCTGCGTGTGGACTCGGACAGCTGCATTAATTTAGGGTTTATGTATAGTAATTACTTTGCCAGCCAACTTGCTTCGGCCACATCATGCTCTTTCGAGGGCGTATGGTGTTCATCGTGGTCGTAGGTAGGTAGACCCATCGGCCGGGGGGTCACTGCATTGCGGTGACGGGAATTAACCTGCAAAAAAAAAGCTCTCGGGGCTTTACCCATTAGCCTGGACCAGCATCGCCTGTGTGACGCCTATGGAAACGGGGAGATGACCTGACTGCTGGCCGGACTTGCTTGCCGTGCCGCCACCGCTCAGGCTCGCTGTCCGACCCGATGGCAGCAACCCTTCGGGGGGATCGGGGAGATGCTTTTGCATCGCGGCTTTACCCAAAGTCGTAGCATTTGTGCTTGGGGAGCTTGGGGAGGCAATGCAGAGCACAGCGTCTCTGCGCCGTACTATGGCTGCTGGGTGCCCCTTTAGGCCTCTAGCGCGCTTCTGCGCGCTCGCATTTGGGAGCTCCGTGTTGACGGAACGTATCAGTGTTAGCAACCTGGTATGGTCCAATTCATCTGCAATTTTTGCAGGGATGATTTCCCCGAACTTTTTGCACTCGTTTGTCATCGCGCTTGGCTTTGACCACAGCATGCTCCTTCGGGAGCGACGCTGTCTACCGTCGTCGTAGGTAGGTAGATGAACTCCTCGAAATCAAGCCATGCCAGTGAGGCCAGCTTGTGCTCCAGCAGCTGGCCCTTTCACAGGCTGCGATATCAATTTGCAAGCTTCCGACAGGATTCAGAGCATCAAGGCGCCTTCTCCTGCAGCAGGGCTTCCAAATTGGAAACCTGCAACTGCAATAAATAAAGGTAAATCCGAATGTGGCGGGATATGGCAGGACGTTTCTCGTGCCTTCAGTCAAGTGCCGGGGATCAGCAATCAATAAGACATCGCAACTCGTGAAATGCGGCCTTGTCAGAAAGCCTCTCCAAGCTCATCTCAGCATTCCGCGCGCGAGCGCCAAGATCCTGAAAGGAAGCAACGTCACATCGCCTCAGCTCGAAACCAGTTGCATGCCACGCATGCCTCGAGGCTGGGCCCTGCATGGGCATCCTCAGCCAGCCCAGAATGTCATTTACAAAAAACCGCACAAGATGGATCAAAACTACCTCCGCGACAGTCCGTGGCACTCAGAACCCGGCCACGATAGCTGTGAAGAATCGGTTCAGGGCAGTCGTAACGTCATCTGCAGTTGCTGCAACGACCTGGAGAAGCTTCTCCCAGAGACCATATTAAACCCCGCAATTGACTTTGAGTTGCCTGCTCCACTTTCGCGTAAGACCCGTACTGCAGTATGTGACCTTACATGGGACGCAGTCATGCGGAATCACTAGCTTGGTCTTGTCTCAGTCACTGGCGGCATTGCGACCAGACGCTTGCAAAGCTCTTGTGCCAGCGAACGCGGGAAGCGCGCGCAAGCTTGGAACAACTTGGAGCCAAAGGCTTCTGCAGCACCAACATGCACCAGACGACTGAGCCCCACTCTCCGAGAATTCTAAACTTAAGAAGTGGACAACATTCATTCATTGCACGATCCCTCATTACTGATACATTGTCGCTGGGCGGTTTTGGCATGCGGAAGTCCAGCCAAAGCAGGGAACTTCTTCAAAATATAATGGGCATGTTGCGAGCGACGGGGGGAAGAGATACTTGCTCACCCTCTAAGTATGAGGCTGTGTAAGCCTGTAGGGGATCTTAATCTCGGAACCTGACTACCGGAAGTGAGTTCACAGGAGTCCAAGTAAATATATTCAGGTTGATGGGCAGATTGTCCTTCCCGCGTAGCTCAACTGTGCGGACTTGCCATTCCTTCCCGGAATGCATCCTCAGAATCCACCATCACATATAGACATGAAAAAACAGGGGCAGCCTCCTGCTAAGCTCTTGAGGAAACGCTGGGTGCCCCGCTCTTCGTCCCTGCAACTTGAGGTCTCCTGCCGACGTCATGCGGAAAGCTCGTTTTGCATTCCAACTTTGCATTGCATGTGGTACCTGTTTTGGCGCTCACATGCATGCAAAAAGCCCTCGCCCGCTTCTCATCTGTTTGCGGCAGATCAACTAGGTCCCTCTTGACCAATTGAGTTCATGTCTGATGCTCGGAATAGTACACGCTTTCTGCCGCAGTTTTATGCTTTCGGTTGCTGGTGTGGTATTATCCTGCAGTGCAAGTAATTAGATGCTGTCCCTTTCTGGAAGCACATGTTGAATGTCTTTGGTGAGTCCTTTTAGCAGGTGTGTCGTCACGACACCCTGTTTTTCTCAAGTGGAAATTCCTGGCTTGCGACTTCCGTGAACTTAAGGAATGGGTCTGACCAGCGCGAAGGCGAGTGGGTGACGGTCACAAACTGGGGCAACTTTCCAAGCCAGCAGGCGTGGCCAGGACCGCGCAGTCACGTGCATCATTGCCAGAAAGCATCATGGCATCATATGGCATCACTGTGAACATCACGTTCCTGATCTGTGGGCTCAGGGCAAGCTCCATAGTCGTGCAACTGTAGACGGCTCAGGCACCTTGGAACCGGACTGCTGCAACTGTCGCCGCCGAGCCTGCATAAAGCCAGGATAGAAAAATGGAAAGCCCTGCATACCGTGTACTGGTGCATACACGTCTAGCCTCCGTCAGTCTCTGTTCGTTTGCTCCAGCGAAGTGGAGCTGAAAACCGCGCTCCCTTCGCTCCTTTTTTTACACAGTGGTCTTCTCCGGAAAACCAACTCAGCTGGACTTGCCTGGTTCGCCTCCAAATTCTGCGAAGTTTGGCGAACTTGGAGCGCCTCGCCACCAGTTAACAACTTTGCAGCTGCTGCTCAGTCTTTCCGGTAGGCCTTTGTTTGGCGTTTCTTCTCTTCCGCTTTGCACTGGAGCCTTGTGCGCTCCAGCATAAGCCTGCAGAGATCAAGTGTGCATGTAGCTTTGCCCAAGGGCACCATGCTCTGCAGAATCTTTTTGAAATGCAACGTGATTTGATTGCGCACCGCTCTTTTTCTCAAGCATCGCAGCATGTCCTGTTGGAAGCCACGCGGGCAGGAACCAAGCCACCTTGCAAATTTCTCCAGATCTGTAACTCGCAACATTCTCCGCACCAAGAGCGAAGTAGAGTCGTCAAGATATCTCACTAGATCAACCTGAGCTTCACGAACCCGAAGACAACCACCGGCATCAAGTGGACTTACTTGATCTTACTTGTGGCTTCGAGCGGCTGTGTAACAATATGGTGTCTTTTCATCACGTAAAATTACGGCTTGAAGGTGCGGGTTGCTTGCACGGTTCCAGCCGATGTTTGGAGGTATGCAGCTGTTCCAGGACTGCAGTACACTGCGCCAAGTGGCACGCTGCACTAGAGTGACCGTACATGGACATGTCACATGACCGCACATTGTGCTCTTTCCCGCCTAGTCGGCCTATCCATGCTGGCAATCTTGCATATTCTGCACGGTAGTACCTTCACTGTTCCGGTGCTCTGTCCAGCATGGTGGGTGAGCTGTCAGGACAAAGAACAGCTGGGCACCTCTTCAACACCTTGAGGGTGTGACGTTCGGAATGGGAACAGAGCTCCAGCGACTGTGGAACGGCAACCTTGGTTCTACAGAGGGCTGCACTTGACATAGTTGGACATTCCATGGCATTCCCAAAAGGCCTTCGCTCTCACATTCCTCTTCTCGAAAGAGAAATCTTCAGGAAAGGGCCTGCGCAGTGGTCTCCCGAATGGGCAGCAGAAGGGTTCTCGTTTTGAGGCTGGGGGTCTGGGGGTTGGGAGTTGACACGAAATCCGCGGAGCGTTCGCAAGCGTTCACAAGCGTCCGCAAGCGTCTGAAAATCGTCCCGAAACGCAGAACTGTCGTCACTTTTGGGCTCGCGTTGGATCTTCGCGTCTCAAAAGTGTCAACAATCTGAGGGATCGGGGGGAACCTGGTCGCGAAACGCAGAAATGTCGTCGCTTTAGGACTCGCGTGGCGTCTCCGCGTCTCAAAAGTGTCAACAGTCTCAGGGATCGGGGGGGTCGTGGTCGCGAACTGTCGCCAATTTTGGACTCGGTCGCGAAACGCTGAAGAGAGGAGAGAGAAGAGAGAGAGAGGAGAAAAGAGAGAGAGGAGAGGAGAGTGGAGAGGCGAGAGAAGAGAAGAGAAAGGAGAGGAGAGAAAAGAAAGGACAGAGGACAGAGGACAGAGGAGAGAAGAGGGAAGAGAGAGGAGAGAAGGAGAGGAGACACGACAGAAGAGATAGGAGAGAAAGGAGAAGGAAGAGAAGAGAGAGGAGAGGAAGGAGGAGAGAAGAGGGAGGAGAGAGGAGAGAAGGAGAGGAGAGGAGAGACGAGAGAGAAGAGGAGAGAGAAGAGAAGAGAG